AAACAGTAACATAAATTCAATAAAACATCGGGGGGGGGGGAATCTTTCACTAAAAAGCTTGGCTTTTAATCATCAGGCTCTCGTTGATGTGGAATTCAGGAGAACAGGAAAGCTCAGTACTGGAATGCTGCAGGCTGCTGCTGGCCAAACTGGGAACTGGAATGTGCCTGGGCCGGCGGGGCCAGCGCCGCTCGCCCGCTCAGTCCGCGATCTTTGCCATCTGCTGCTCCAGCTTGGAAATGCGCTCGTCTTGGTTGGTGATCGTGTCTTTTATGGATTTCAGCTCTTTCAAAATCTCGTCCAATTTGGCTTCATTTTGCTGGAAGACAAGACAAGACACGAAGTGGTGAGGAGAGGGGATAGGACATGGGATTTCCAAGCCTGGGGGCTCCCCTGAACGGCTTCATGCGAGCTCTGCCTGCCTGGCACCGGCACCTGGGATGCTCATGACATGGACTGACATTCCCAGTGACAGCTTCAAGAACATCCTGGACCAGTATCTACTCTTTAAAAGTATTTATGGACCTACCTGACTGACAGCTGTCACTTGCACATCTCTATATTCCAGTTCAAGGCCAGGTTGGATGGGGCTTGAAGCAGCCTGGTCTGGTGGGAGGTGTCCCTGCCCATGCAGGTGGTTGGATCTACATGAGCTTTAAGGTCCCTTCCAACCCAAACCAGTCTGTGATTCTCTATTACCACATCTTAGCTGCAACTCCCGATTAGGAAGCTGTACCACCTCCTTCTGGGCCTGCATAATCTGAGGTTCTTTTGTCCCACTGTCTGCGCTGGGTTTTACACAAAAGAGAGGTGCACAGAAGCTGATCCACGCAGGTGGGTGGCTGGAACAACCAGCCAAGCTTTCCTTGGGATCACAATTCCCTGTAGCCTTCCACAGCTGCAGGAACCTCACCTGGAATGTCACAACTCAGGTACCACCTCAAGTCCAGGTCACCCAAATCCCAGCGTACTGGAATCGTACATGCCTGAGCTTTGCCATAACTGCTTCTGAAGATGCAGCCCCCTGGGTATCACATTGGGGGCCACCATCCCTAAAAGCTTGTGGATTTTACTCACAGAGTTTGAGGCATCAGCTGCTTTCTTTGGAGCATTTATGAGATCACTTTTCTTGTTCGCGGCAGGCTTGTTGTCCAGTATGTTCTTCTTGACCACCTTGAGATCCCTGTTCTTGCCTGGAATGTACCCGTGCTTCAAGGAGATGAGAAGGGGATCTGCATTCTTCCCCTCAAACCACTCCTCTGCTTCCAGAGCAGCTTCTGGGCCAGCCGTATCAGGGTACAGGTCATCCTGGAAGAGGTCCGACTGCAAGCCAGAAGAGATGGATTGGTCAGGTGCTTTGGGGCTGGAAGGCAGGAGGTGGCTCCAACCCCCGCACCCAGGAGCTCGTGCTCACCTTGCGAGGAACCGTCATGATGATGGGCTCACACTTCCTCTCGTGAAGCTTGAAGAACCTTTCAAAGGAAAAGAAAAGGTGCCAGTGCCATAAACTCCAACATCCCCAGCCTGGCCCCTAGGCACTGCTGCTGAAATATTCCCACTCTCCAGGCAAGTGCAGGCCCTGCTCCCTTTCAGGGGCTCCTGCTTTGGTTAATAACCCAAGGAGCAGCACCAGGGGCAACATCCAGGATGCTCCCCACCAGCAGCGTGCCAGGGGCCCCTGCAGTGACACACACCTGCTCTCCTGAGGTACTTTCATCCTTTGCCATGTTTCCTGAACCACGGCTGCACTCTGGGCACTCTCTAAATTCCCCAAACCAGCTTCCAAGCAACTTGCCATCTACAAGCTGGACACTGATACCAGCCTTAGGCACCAAAAGTTTATCACTGCTGTGCTGACACCACAGCTGCACCCCAGCTGATGCTCCATTTCCTGCAGACAATCTATTCTGCAAGATACCACTCAACACTTCCAAAAGGCTCAGGCACAGCACATGTGGGGGTCACACCACGTTACGTTGTGCCCAGCACAAACGCCACTTCATGGCACAGAAAACACTGAGTGTGACAGAGGGTCCCACACCAGCAGCAGGACCTGGCAGCCCTGAAGGGCTGAGCTGGCAAGTGGGGGTTGTTGCTAAGGCAGCTATGAAGCCCTGCCAGCTTCTGTTCTCACCTGGCAATCTCACACTTGTTGACATCCAGGCCCCTCTTGGGCATGAAGCCCATGCCCCTCTGTGGCTCCTTGCTGCTGAAGGTGTTGAGGTAGTGAACATAGGGGGACTCGTCCGTGATCTCGAAGTAGCGGATGCTGCTGTCACCCTGCAGGACACCAGGAGGGATGACTCTGGGGGGCTGCAGAGAGCAGTGCTCCCCGTGGCCCCTTGCCTGCTCCCTGCTGGGCTGGGCAGCCACCCATCCCAACAGCCTTTCCTTCCAGGAACACCACCACAGAGCAACACAGGTCACAGCTGGTATTTTTCAGCCTAAAACCTCCCTTGCTTGCCAGCTGAGTGTCCCTCCCCTCAGGCTGCTCTCAGCAGTCACTACCAGCCAGCACACAAACCTGTTACCCATTTGGCATCAGCAGAACTCCCACAAAGCAGATTCCCCAGTAATCCCAGGACAGGAGCTGAACAGTTTTTCTAAGTGAGAAATGCTGTTCCTCACACAGTGTGACACAGTGACCCAAGCTCCTGCTTCAAGACTAAGGCTGTCATGTTTCCTCATTTCCCCTGGTGGAAAAGTTAACCTCAGTGCCACAGGCAGGCAGAAAGGCTATAAACCAGCTTCTCTTTTTGATTTCACTAACATTTCTGAACCAGCAGAAGAGGAAGCAGAGACAGAAAATCAGTTATTTCTCATTAGCTGTTTACAAAGATGGGACTCTTGAATGTACTTGTATGGATCCTCCTTTCTAATTACTTGTTCATCTTGTCTTGTCCTTGGCTCCTATTTGTAGGAATTCCCAAGCTGCAGCACTCAGAAGTGGATACTTTAGAGCACTTAATGCCTACAAATTGCTTTCAGAAAGGAGCACATGATTCTATTTTCTCTTATTTAACCCCACAAAATTACAGTGAGTGTTGCTACATGCTCCATCAACTCCAAGCACAAGGATAACATCTAAAATGTACATTCCTCCCACACATAGGGGCAATCACTCAGCTCAACACCAACAAGGGATGCTTTGATGGCAGTATCTGACTTGTTGCATGAAGAGCAGCTTTGCCTAAGCAAATCCATCTGAAAGAAACACCCAGCTGCAAGTCAGACTTCACAGGCTCTCTGTATGGCCCTGCAGAGTGAGGATCAAACCCATTTCAGAGCAGCCTGATTTGTCTGCAGCCCTGACCATTGCTGCAGCACAAACCTTTGGTTCTATCTTTCTCAACTGAGACACTTGGAAAACATTTCACAGGCATCATTCACGGAACAGGATGACTGATTCCTCTAGACAAGCCCAGTCTCACCAAAAGCTTCTCTTTACCTTGCCACACAAGTAAATAATGTTGGTGTCTGGGTCGTAGAATGGCAGCAGGACCCCATTGCTGGTGTCCATCTCATGAAGGGCTATTGGCTCCTCCATGTTTTTCTGGAAATAAAAAATGACAGTGATGTTAATGGGGAAAGAAAAAGCTCATGTTAACGCAGGATCCAAATTATTAACGGTTCTTTGCAGCAGCAAAGAAGGCTCTATGTGGTACAGTAACAAATGCTGTAAATGTTCACAAGCTCATTTGTTCCCCAAGGACATTTTAACCACAAAATGCAATAGAACAGCACCAAACAGAATTCCTAAAGGGAGAGATGTGACAGTCATGCTAGTAAGGGCCCTGTTCCAGTGTGCTGGGATTGCTGCTGTCCTGCTCTGCGCATACAAGGTATAGAATGAAGCAGCCCCCACACGGGCTCCCTGTGTACATCCTCAAAGTGCAGCTGCCAGCTTCACCACTGCCCCTGGGGAGCAGGAGACCTCACTTCTTTCCCTGAGGGAACATCCTGCCTCCATCACAGCAACACCGCCTGGCACAGGAAGCCTGAGCAGGAGCAGCCCGGAGCTGGAAGAGGGAATATGCTTCAATAGATGAACTATGGATGTAGTGGGCGACTGCAGGTTTGGGTTAGTGAGCCAGAGGACATGACAAGGACCAAGCAGTGGTGGGACAGGGACCTACAGGGTTCCACAGGGCCAGCTGCCGTTCGCTCATGCGGCTGAAGCCGGTTGTGAAGATGTTTCCGTCCGCCAGGAAAATGGCGCGCATGGGCCGCGCTCCCTCGTGGGTCTTCTCTTTCTCCTGCAAGAGATTTACAGATTAGCCCCTGGCAAGGAACTGAAAAGCCCACCTGGTGGTGGCTTCACTTCTGGCTGCACAGAATCCCTGGTAGGACTGGTCCTCCAGGCAGGATGCTGACTCCCCGGAGCAACATCCAGCTATCTCTGCCCGATGCTGGGGGGGAGACACCAGCTACTGAACTGCAAAAGAACTGGTCCTTCCTGGCTCATCTCAGCTTTGCCTGTCAGACTCTTGCAAGGCTGAAGGAAGACTTCTTTGCAAGCTACAAGACATATGCAGACTGCTAAATCTCTGCTTTGCACACACAACTTTGGAGCTGTAATTATACAAAAGGATTAGATGTGGAATTACACTCATGTGGGTTTTACAAGGGAGCCTTAAAACCCCAGTTCAAACACTAATCCAAATAAACCAGCCAAATCCTCCAACCACTGCCATCCCTCCTGTCATTTTTTTCCTCACTTTGAAAAATCTGAGCAAACATGGGATATACACCAATCAAGAAGGTTCCCTCTCTGTATCCTCTTGTTAACTCTCATGCAAACTTACAGCAACAATTTCTTGTTTCCTGGGGTCAATAACTCGAACTTTTTTGTCTTTGGAAGCTGTACAGATGAGGCTGCCATTGCGATTCCAGCTCACATTGTAAATCATATCCACATGCATGTCATCCAGGTTTATGAGGGCTTCACCTGTTCCCACATTCCAGATGATGATTGCATTATCACAACCTAAAAGAGAGAGGAACAACTTAAGTCACAATACTGGTGTTAACACGAAAGAATATGGAGCAGGGAAGAAGGAATAAACCTTTCTGCAGCCAGTCCCTGCCTCCTCAGGTCAGGGAGATTTGTGGCAGAAAGAGTCAGCATGGCAGGGATGGAAAGCAGGCAAGAGACAGCAGGAGAAACAGCAGAACAAAGGGAGAAAAGAACAGTAGGGAGCAGAAGCTGAGATCAGCAGTTTCCCAAGGACTACAACCATCAGGCAGGTGGTTTTTGGTCAAGGACCAGACAGCAAGACCAAGAATAAAGCCCAAGATAAGATGACAGAAAAATATAGAACAGGACTGGAGGACCAGGTAGGGGCAGGAAAGAACAGTGTGTGACTGAGCAATTTCTCCTGAGGCTCCGTAAGGGGAAACACATGTAACCAGGCAAAAGATAATTGCTCTGAACTCCCAAAGGGCAGAAAGGACACCCAAAATCAGTCTGTTGTCACCAGGAGGAACCCTGGAGACTGCAACGACCTGACAGCATCCCTTCTCCTCTCTGTTTCTTAGGAGTAATCCTGGATGGACTGCCTGGACACACATCTTGCTGCCCCTGAGTAGAGGAGTCTGAGGAAGCTACCTAAGAAAAATCTCCTCCTTTTGTGTGTTCTCACACTGAGTTTCATTACATTAACTGTCACAAAGTCTGCAACTCCAAGCATTTTTCGGGAAACCAGATCAAAACTAACCTGGTACCTCAGAAGGCATTTACATCCCCAGAACACACAAAGCTCATCTGCCAGCCCAGCTGAAAGGACTGGCTTCTTTCACTGGGCTCCAACCTAAAGGACATGTTGGGGAAGCCTCAGACCATGCTAATGGATAATGACTTACCCACTTCACTTCCATAATGATGTGACTGTTTTCCAGTTGCCAAAAGAACCTCTTTAAATAGACTGCACCAGTCAAGGAGACAATTTGGAAAACACTGAAGATGGAAGCTTGTGGAAGGATCCCTTGCAGGGATCAGTGAAAAGGAGAAACAGTTGGGCCTTTATGCAAGTATATGAAAAGAGCGATGAGAAGAGTGCAGATGTAAATAGTTATCAGTTATCTGAAACCTGTAGATCAAATAAAGTCTGGAACAATTTAAATACTGTAATTCATTCTTCCAGACAATTTCCTGGTTCTTGTCCCTGTAAACTGGAGATAATAAAAGGCCAAGATAAGGAGGGGGAGCTGTGAGCCACGTGTTCTGTGTTCCCAGACACTGCCATTACTGCTGTGATTCACTGTCCCTAAGAAGCTGGGAGAGGAAAGGAGGAAAAGGAGTCAACAAGCCCTTCTCTAAAACACCTGGTGTGCCAGCCAGACAGGAGGGAGAGATGCCTGCTGGCCCCCCAGCCCTGACACACTGTACCTGCACTGAGCAGCACGTTGCGCGCTGTCGGGTGCCAGGCCACGATCCCGACTCTCTTGGAATGCCCTTCTAACACCACCACTGGCTCTGTCAGGGACAGGGTGAGTCCGTTCTCAGGAATCTGCCACACCTGGGAAGGGGAAAGGAAAGATGGTTAGCCAAGGGTCATCCCCTCTGAAGAGCACATTACTGGTTTGCTTCCTGCATCCTGTGCCACGGTAGGAGCCCGAGCTGTCACTGCTCAGTAGAAACAGGAAGAAGGAATTGGGCAGGGAATTGTTCCCAGTCACCAATAAACCTTCAGCTGGTCCCTGTGTAACACCCTTCCCAGCTCACACTGCTAGCACCTAACCAGCAAACACACTGTTATCCCTGTGTCCAGAGACCCATCCACCTCGGGTGCTGCATGAGAAAGACTCAGGAAAATCTGCTTTGCAGCTCAGCTCCCATTCCACATGAACAAGCTGCTCCCCTTTCCAACTGTGCTTGTGCCTCCGAGGGATGATACAGCAGCTACCCTGGTGCCAACTTTTTATTTCTTTGGAAACGCTGGCAATTAGTTCCCACATGATGCCCAGAGCCTCCTTTCAGATTTGGTCCTGGCAAAAGGTAAAGGAGCCCAAGTCAGCATTGCACAAACCATCTCTGAATGCAGCAAACTGCCTGTTTGCTGCTTGGCTACACAACCTCCTGCTGCCAGCACCTTCAGCAAAGTGCCACCAGGAGGAGGAGCAGACCCCCAGGCACTGGAATTCCAGCTGTGGAGTCAGAGCAGGTTTATGCACCAATGGAGGAAGCTTCTGCAAGCAGCAGGGCCCGGGGAGGAAGGGACAAAACCCATCACCCTGTGCCCCAAGGCAGCATCAGCCCTACCAAAACTATTCCTGCAATTCACCACTGGACAAGCATCTTTGAACTGAATTTGACCTACATCTAGTGCATTAAAAAAATTAAGTAACGCCCACCAGTGAGCAGTTATAGCTACTTCTAGAGATAGATGGCAGCATTAGAGCACAGTTGCTTTGCCTTCTATTGTTTGCTTTTTCTGGAGTTGGAGAACAGGGCTGGCCAGACCCTGCCCAGGATGCCCAAGCAAGCTGTTGGCACCAGCTGATGCCAGGGAGTGGATTTTGGGAGGGGAGGCAGGCAGATGTGCATGAGGGCGACACAGACTTCTGGGCTAATCCCAGTTTCTCCCTCTCACAGGGATGGCTGCTGCTTAAACAAAACCCATCGAGGTGCAAAACATTCTCAGCACCTCCCAGCTCACCTCTAAGCAACCCTGCAGTTGTTTCACTTTTCACCCTCACAGCTCTCAGCACCCTCAGCATCCCAGGAGGAATGACATGTGGAGGGCACCCAACCTGAGCAGAGAATTTCTTTGCAAGGGTTGAAAATCCCTTGCTCCTCCTGCCTGGTGCAGCAGGGCCAGACAAGATGCCATAAGGCCAAGCTTTCACCAGCAGTCACGTTTTAAAAACTGGGTGTTCAGCCCCATGCCTTCTGTTCACTTCCACTTCCACCCCAGCTTTGCAGCCACTGCACCCTGAGGACTGTGCTCAGACACCACATGATTTATGAACTGCACCAAACCATTTCACCTGCCCATTACACAACAGAACTGGGTTACAACCTGTCAATTTTGATAGAAGCAGGTTTCTCCTTGCCACTCAGAACAACCTGACAGCAGCAACAGTTTAAAATGTGTCTGCTGACACAGGAACTTTAGCATCACTCTGCTAAAACTGGTACCTGCACTTCAGCTCACAACTGTAAGCAGGTCTCCCAGATGAACCACCTCCAAACTCCTCACCACTGTAAACAGGCATTACCTAAACCAGTGGGAAAGCTGTAAAGAGAACACAAGACCTTCAGCAGGAAGCCAGACATCTAATTATCCCGGAGTCTTAAGGAGCCTTTCAAAATGACAAGCCTTGATGAACACAGGCACTTCTCCCCCTGAGAAATCAAGCAGACTGCCCCAGCTCACTCAGCCTCACTCTTTTGCTGGGGGAAGCTTGGAAAATCAAATTTATTCTCAAAAAGACCTGGAGAAGAATGAGCCTCTGGGCCAAGCATGACCTGCAGAGAAGCCACACAGGGACAGCAGCAGCTTCTACACCTGCAGCCCACCCTGCCCCCTGCCAAGGGGCAATCAGAGCAAAGGCACCAGGTCCCAGAGATCCACCTTTCTGCTCTGTGCTGTCTCAGCCAGGAATGGTGCAGGGATCCCTCTGTGCAAGCACAACTTCATAGCAGAGTAACTTGTGTGCCAGAAAACTCCAGGACTAAGTTCAAGCCAGTGAGTGCAGAGGCTGGGAGAGGAAAGGGAGGTATTAGAGGCAAAATACCAATGAAAAGGATTTTTAAAAAAGCCTCTGGATGACAGATTTATTTTTTTTTTTATTTCAGGGAAAGCCCCTATAGTTTACAGCAGCTGCAGACCAGTGTAATCCTCTGCAGATTACAGAAACTATTGACCTAATGATCCTGCTTGGTATTGCACAAAAAAGCTGAGAGTGTGAAAGGTCAGGGAATGCTCCCAAGTGAGCTGGCCCACTCA